GGATTAGTTTTACAGAAGATTATTCCCTAAAAACAAACTGACAAAAAATCGTTACCTTTTATGACATGTTGTCATTACAATATCCATTAAACTGCTGACTTATAATTAGTCTAACTAAGATAAAATAAGAAGTATGTGTCTAGAGAGAGAAAAAGACTTTAAATTTCGCTCGATCGACACTCGAGGGGGTAACGAAACTGCCAAAATGGTACAAAGGTCTTTTTTTACTTATACCATAGCGGAATTTTAAACAGTAAGCTTATTAAAATTTTGGGAGCTCCCCTTAAATATTTGCTTAATTTTAATTTAACTAATTACGTATGTATGTAAGAATGTTCTTCTGTTCCCCTATAACTTCGAAACTACTCATCGTAACTGGACAAATGAGGTATCATTAGAAGTGTTTTAGGTGCGTGTTATAGACTATGTGACGTTACATCAAATTGGCAACAGCACCCTCTAGCCAGAAAAAGTAAGAACCTAAAAAAACATATTAAACATACATAAAAAGATTCCGTGGAGGGCATCAAATGAAAAATATATTTATATATATGTATATTCATAACTTTTGATTGGGAATTTACTTAAATACACCCGAAAATTAATTGAATAAAAATCACGCTCTAAAAAGTTTGAAACAAGAACTTTATATAATAGCGATAGCTATATTTTAATAACGATGACCAAAGACAGCGTAGATATTATTTTTAGTAGTTTGTTTTGTTCTGATCAGTTTTTTTTCTTCCTATACACGAGTAAAATAATTTTTATTTCGTCGCATCATCTAAAGCTATGCATTGGCTATTATATTAATGAAGCGATTGTCTTTTAGTAAGTGTTTAAAATTCTAAATATAAAATATACTGCTTTTCTCGTAAGAAATTTATTTCCATATTTTAATAAATGGAGTTACTTATTAAGCGCTGCGGCCTGCGATCGTTGTTGTTAAGCAACTTTCGAGGGGGTCGGTCATGGGATGGGAGACCAAAAAAAAAAATCTCGATCTCAAAGGCACAGTAAGCCTTTGGTCCCGGCTGCATTTGAAATCTTTATTACAAATACCCTCCAATCCGCATTGGGCCAGCGTAGAGGGTCGTGGACCATCCTCCAAAACCATCCATTAGAAAGACCCGAGCCCCTTCAGTGGGGCGTAAAAGGGCTGATAATGAGTTACTTATTACTATCTATATCTTTACGCCGTATCCCTTGCTTTGCCATTACTACAAAAAGGTAGCGTGGAAGTATTTAAATTATGTAAAGGAATTCAAGCAAGTGTTCATAAGAAAGTTCAATACTTTACAATTATCTGGTGATGTAATCAGAGAAACTCAAATAAATCCACGGTACCACACCAATCCACGATCGCTTCCGAAAAATACGTTAAAACTGAAACAATTTTTATTTATGTTCCAGTTAGTAACTTTATCAGCAAATAGAGGAACTTTATCTGACAGATACGTTTATCCGAGACTTGTGTAACCGAAATTTGCGATTTATCTGGCAGATAAGTTTCTGATAGACTATCAGAGGCTTTATCAGCAGGTGAATCTGGCCCTAAATGTAATTGTGTGTATAGACTTAGGCAAGGGCCAGTCATAAGATGGGTGAGCAAATATTTTGTATCGCGGGCTCTTCCGCGCTTCATAAGGCATGTTGCCTTTTGTCTCGGCAGAATCTGCACTACCAATCCATACTGTGGTGAGTTATAGGCCTAGTCTATTCGATTTGATTCCATTTAAGGCCTGTACTCCATGAGTTGGGACAATAATAGGCTGGTGATATATATGATAAATACAACCACGTTGGTACTTAATAATGTGATAAAAAAAACAATTTTGATAATATATAACTTCTTTTGGACTTTGAAGTCGGTTAAAATATCGAGCTTCGCGTTCTCTATAATAATTGATGCGAATTATGGGAGCGAATGACGTCGTAAAACCTACCATATGGTTTGTTATGCCATTGTAAAGGAAACATCGGTCTAGTAATGTTAATACTTGTATTTAATCATACACAAGATATGTTAAATGCCTATTAGTAAATACTAACCTTCGGTATGTAGCAATAATTCTATCAGATACTAAAAAAATTTCACCGCGAATCTTGAATACTTTCTTGTAGCCAGTGCTACGAATGGCGACGTGGCATTCCGATTTGTAGCATCGTAGTCCGTAGCGAAACATGAATATGCTACGAAACGAGATTAATAATATTAATGCTTAATACATGAATAATCTTCTAATGTGATGTTATCCAGGATCATGTTTATCAAGCTTGCTATATTGTATGTAGTTATTCTATAAGATAAATAAGTAGTGTCTTTATTTCTGATAAATTTTGTAGTATTCAATGTACAATTGCTTTATTATTAACTTTGTCTTATCTTTTGTTCAAATAATGTCAATTGCTATGTTCCAGTCCCTGTTTTAATATGTCAATCGAGCCTGATCAACGATGTAGGCATCGTTAGGACGGTGGCGCCGTACGGACGCCAAGTGTCGGCCGCCCGGCGGCTCGCGGCGGCGCCCAATAAACACGCCTATCAAACCTTAATACTAACTAAATAGGATTAATACATTTTTTATTAAAACTTAAATGGCTAGTGAAGGAGAATAACTTTTTATTTTTATTATATTTTTGTTCGTTGTGTAGGTGATGGTCATACTGAGTTTATTATTTTGCGTATACGTTACGTCGATAGTAAATGAAGACCTTGTAGTAAATATAGTTATTTGAAATGCAAACAAACAATCAAATATTTGTTGTTTATTTTATAACAAATAGCATAAAAAGGACCATAAACAATTATGAATAAAAAACGGCGGCTACTTTCAACTATTATCAGACACGTTAAAGGTTATAATGTAAAATTTTGTATATGAAACATATCTTATCTATTAATTAAATTATTTTAAAAGTTGAACGTAATATTCATGGAAATCTAAAATATAATTATAGCTGAATACCTAATTTATGTATAAATAAATAAACAAGGGTTTTCAACACTGTGGGTTTAATTAAAGTTTTTGTTATTGTTTGATATATAAATTTCACGTACCTAACTTTATTAGAATATTTATTTGCACCGCTTTACAGTCGATATATATGATTTGATATTCTGTAAAAAATATAGCCCCAAAAATAGCACTATCGTAGTGTAAGAGCTTAATTAAATCAATACCTTTATTACCTTTCGAAATAGGTTTTTTGTTTAAAGCTACAGCGACCGCGTTATGTTCGACGCTGGAATTTCAACAGAATAGCTCTGAATTCATCAGCATATTACAAAATTCCAAATGTTTGCGATTAATTTTGAACTTCGTTACAAAATAGTGTAAGTATATAACATTTGTGACCAAAAAAAGTACAAAGTATTTGAGATGACAAGGCCCGAATTTGTATTATTTTAACAATAAATTATTTTAGAATCTGTACTTTTGTTTTGTCTTCGAAATATTTCAACAACCTTTTAATTATGGAGTGATTTTAAGATGACTTTTTATTTATTTATGGAAATATGGATATTATTCCCATTCAATTTTCACTATCCACTTGTATATTTTTGTGGTATTGTTTTTGTGGTATTTTAGTCATAATTATATAAGATAAGTATGGTAAGAAGAACTTTAATAGCTTTTTTTTAACTATTATTACATTCAGCCGGGTTATCGTTTTTCATTAGATCGGCCGATACGCAAATCAATATAACGTAAAATTTACATGTTATCGAAGTTAGGGCGTTGAAATTAAATTTCTTGATACTCTTCTCTGAAAAAAAGATATACTTACTGCATATTTGATACTTATATAACCTTTTATGTATTTTCATCGTATTTTTAATTGGATGATTGAGGTTTTTGTTAATAGACGGTCTATATTTTATTTTGCTCAGCCATTTAAAATAAATATCACATACAATACTCAGATTCCAATTAAGTATCTAAATCACTTTTACTATGTAAACCTTTAACAACGTAGGTATGCACAACATACAGACCCGAAATAATAGTATGGAAAAAAATCTACATTGACACGACTGGGAATCGAAACAGTGAACCTTGTACCCACTCGGACATGGAGGTCGTCCGTCGGGAGTCAAATTAAAATAATTTTAATGTTGTTTACTCACAATCACAATACTATGTCACTAGAGGTACAAGATAATACGTACTGATATTAATTGTCTTCAGAAAATAGAATCTATTTATAACTTACTAAGTGGACGTGGGTGGAGCCAAATTATCCCTTACTGTCAAATTTATTGTGACGAAGTACAGTATTTTTTAAGTAATTATAATGGCCTGAAACCAAATGTATAAATAATTAATTTTGCATTCACGAAGCTTTATTGATGTTTATTCTACATATATTATATTGACATCCACTTTTCTTAAAGAAAAAATGCTATAGTCCCAGACGCTCGAGCTAAAATATTTTATCTCGATAATAATTGGATCTTCTATTTATAGGTATTTAATCTATCTTATATTAAAATACTTAAAAAATTACCTTTGAAAACATTTTTCTGTAAGATATAGATATTATAATATTCTGAAAGCAAAAAAATTCAAATATAATAAATAGATACATTTTTTCACATAGTCCGCTGTTTAGGTGAATTATTTACCTAAATATGGTTAATGTATGCTAACTAGTAGCGATATAATGTATTTATTTGTGAAATTTGAGAACATCGCTATGGTATAGTTTTAAGTGGCCCAAATGGCAGTCTTAAAAATAGCTAAGGGCCACACATCAAGATTCAATGTCCAATCTTAGGCGAATTCTGTCCGCTGACAGCTGACAAATCTTTCAGGTCTTCATTTTGAGAGATGAATTAGGACTAAAGTTAAACGGTAGGGGCACAGATTCGAACTCTGTGTCGAGAACTTGAGGCGGTTGAATTTTTTACTGTTATTATTTATAAGTTATGAGTTATTTTTCGAAATAAAAAGTTAATAAACATTGAGTAAAACTTGATGTTTTCATTATTACAGAATTCATAATGCCCCAGTGGGCCAGTGGAGAAGGTGGTGGTTCAGAAGCCGAGTCGCCCGGCAAGACCATGGTCTTCTACGACGAGGCATCAGAATATTATGAAAATAAAATTGATGTGGGTGTCAAAATAGAACCAGCGGGTGGTAAGTTGTTATCAAAATAAATAAATATAAATGAAACAACTTATAAACGGTTTCATAGCGTTTTTACCATAACTCATTGGTAAACTTTAGGTTTTACAGGAAAGTGTTAAGAATTATGTTCTGAACTTCTTTTACAGTAACATACATATATACAGTATAAACTTTCGCGTTGTTAGGTTTTTCACCTACCTATATTTCCCGACGTTTCGACCAGGTTACACCAATCGTGGTCATGGGCTGACTGTTTCTGCGATGCTACGTAGGTAGGTGAAAAACCTAACTATCGAAATCTATCGCGTTAATACCATCCATTCATTACGGATGACCACGGGATGACGACTGTGTAAAAAAAAGAAATCGTATTTAGTCCGTCAGTCAGATAATAGATACGTATAATATAAAATATTATTAGATACGTATTTTTTTTGCTTCAATTTAAACAAGAAATGGTTTAGATAATAGGTATTAATGTTGAGGAGTTGTGGCTCGTCACGTCACAGTTTTGTAGAAAATGTACAAAAGCGTGACGCCGTAATTTATGGAAAACGAAAATATTCAAAAAATACGTATTTAATATTATTATTTTAATAATATTATTATTATTAAATAATCTACGCGTACCTGACGGGTAAAAAAACAAAAATTAGTCGTCATCTTGCAAGCTTGCACTTATTGGTCAAAATGGTCATAATAACAGTGTTCTTTTCTGATAGAAAAACGGTTCACAAAACGGAAAACAAAACTTTTTATGTGTAGGTGTACAAAATTACATATCTATTTAATAATGTAAAATGTTAACTTAACACCTCTTTTCAGCATAAATACGGTTAATTTCAAGGCCATAGAAAAATTAACGGTGTGAATATTATGATACATTTTCCACCTAATGTGCTGGATCGTAATTAAAATATTATAGTCGAATAGTATATCAATAGGCATGGAGCAGATAAGGGAATTGCGAAAATCATCCGTAGCCGTGCATTCAAATCGATTAGTCTGCACTTGCGCTTACGCAAAGCAGTTTATCAAGCGTACCGCGCCATCACGTAATAGAATTTCAACGCTGAGAGTTGCACAAACTGAACGCTCTGAGCGTCTCGTGTTTAAAATTCGTGACGGAACGGGGAGACGACAGAGCGGGTGACGTAGTTGCTATCCAGCAATAAAACACCACACATCACGTAGTAATCTTGATAATTTCACTTCGCGGCGTAACGAGTTTTGGATCTAATGTATTTGGCAACTAGGATGATAACGACAACAGGCATTAAAGATGGAATAGAGGAGACCAAGGTTTTTTAAAACAGATGTGTGTTGAAATAAAATTTTGAATAAAATTCAAGGTTGGTTCAACTCACCACTGTTTTAAAACCCCCTCGATCTATATATACTATTAACTATACTAATAAATGGAATGCTGAAATTACTCTCAAGTTATTGTTTATAGAAATTTTAATACACTTTCGAATAAGCCAATTGATTCTGTAAAGCGACCGCGAATTTCCTATATTTATTGATAATTTACAAAGTTTTCTTTATTAGGATCAAATTAAGTAAGAATATCATTATTCGATTAAGGATCATATTCCAATAGTACTTTTTAACATTCCTTACAAAAGGGCTTAACAGCCCCTTCTAATTAATTCTCATACGAATTTCAAATTAGAATTTTTGGATAAGAAAAATTTGATGAGTACATTAGTTGATAAATTTTGTTCATTTATTATTCTTATTTGATGGTAACGATTCTCTCTTGATTATTGAACTTATCATGAAAATAAATTGAGACGAATGCAAAAAAAAACTGCACTTGTTCAAAACCGTAAAAAGTAAATACGTGTTCATTTGCAGAGTTCTACGACAGTGGTAGCGGTAGTAGCGGCAGCGAAGAGCAGCCGCGCAGGATGTCTCGGCCACGACGGACCCCCTCCGGATCCCCGCCCACCACGACAAGCGTTACCACCGGCTCCGGACCAGGACGCCGGCGAAGATGCGCCGTTTCAGCCCGGGAACGCAACATCCGCCGGTTGGAGAGCAACGAGCGGGAGCGTATGAGAATGCACTCGCTTAATCGCGCATTTGAGGTAAGGATTACTTGCATTATTTATTAATTAAAATTGTATGCCACCTTTACTTACCAATGAAAATGTAAATGTAAATCAAAGGTATAGTGAATTGTAATTTTATTTACCTTACATAGATATATTAATTAAAAATAACAGGGAACTTAATACAGTTGTTCGGTTTGTTTTTCTTTTAGAAAAGTAGAGAACTTGATACTTGATAAAGTAGGTATGTTGCTGTTTAAATTTATTGTTTTCTCTTGATAAATGGTAATTAAAAAATGGACAAGAATTCACTGGTGGAATTAATTATTTTTTATTATTTTTATTTTTTCTAATAAAATAATTTCATCGATAATCCTACTTTTTCAAACAGATATAGTAGATAAGGCGATAGACCTTCTGACTAATAATGACACCAAATATTACTTCAATTAAAAACTTGAATATGTTTTAACTTACATAATTCTACAAGTTGCAAATTCTAATTTAAGCATTGATTTAAAATTTAACAATTTTAGCTAACAGTTCAGTGAAACAATAAGAATATGACTTAATAAGCAAGGTCGTTTTAACAAAAAAAGAGTAGCCTAACCAGGATAGAAATTATTAACAAACATGTTACGACTAATTATATATTCGACCTGGTAGTTCGGTGGCGTTGTGGATAAGTGCCGCGGCCCGCGATGGTTTTTGTTAAGCAACTTTTGCAAGGGTCGGTCACGGGATGGTTGATTAAAAATTTAAAGCCGTTGGTCCCGGCTGCGTTTGCAGTCATTAATACCCTCCAATCCGCATTGGGCCATCGTAGCGGTTCAGGATTTATCCTTCTTAACCATCCATAAGGAAAGCCTGAGCCCCTGCAGTGGGGACGTAAAAAGGCTGATGATGAGATAATCTGGTGTACTTCTTATCACGTCTTACAATTTAAACCTTCCCTGGGCTACAAAAAACATTTCAAAACCAAAATCAGCTAAATTGACCCATCCATTCACGAGTTTTAGCAAGACGAACGAACAGACATAAATTTTTATATATGTAGTAGAAGGTACTTTTATAGACATTGTCTATTGTTTAACTTTGTAAAGCGTGGCTATGGGAAATAATTGTCATTATATTTTATTAATAGGTAGATATATCTATGTCCAATGAAACACGTCTTTGTTATTTTATGAAACAAAATATTTAATAACTAGGTATGCATTATACGATATATCTATTCGACTATGCGTCTATCATTATTTTGTTTGTTCTTCATCTCCTTATAGACCTGTCATTTTTATCACATGCAAAGCGTCTCTTCACATTATATGTTTTAACACAATAGTGTACCTAATCTGTTATAGGTAATCAGCCTTACTTATAAACTTATCTTTAACTAGCTTTCCTACAGTGGCTTCGCCTATGTGATTCAATATTATACCTTTTATACCTACATATAAACCTTCCTCTGGAATCCCTCTGTATATTGATGAAAACGGCATTAAATCTGTCTCATGGTTTGAAAAGATCCAACGTACAAACAGCAGCGAGAATCAACTTTGTTTTATATTATGTATAGATAGACGATTTTACGCTTCTACATTTAGTCGTTCTTCAAATTAGTATAAATATGGTATCTTATTACGCTAATTATAATATTTTTTATACAATTTTTTTTACATGTTGTCGTGATTGACAAGGTTTAATCCACACTATGGACTAAAACTTGTAAAAATTAATGTCCGGTTTTTACTGAACTAAAGTTTTACAAGCATATATGTATAATTTGGATGATGATACAATATTTCAATATGATATGTAGGTGATCTCTGATAGAATGGGAAAGTTGCCATGGAACATATGCAATTAAACGACAGAACTCCATTGACTTTGGACTTATTTGATTTGCCTAGACAAGGATTTTTGTCTGATATAATATGCAGTATAATGACGTAACCGGAAGGTCTTTGTAATCTCTGGTTCAAAATAATAAACATAAACAGTTATTAATAAACAACTTTTAGCGTTGAAGTAAATTTATGCTTAGACTGCACTTAGTATTAATCAAAATTTATTATTAAACAGACACTTAGCAAGGGTTAACCTAGTACGAGGTTCTAAGGAAATAATAATAATTCTAGGTTTGCTTATTCTCTGTATTATATGAATTCGGACTAATAATACAATTGCCAGAGATTTAATCTCACGCTAAACCTCTTTTGTTAATAGCACTGAGTTTATTTAAAAAATCATTAATTTATTATTTTCAGGAGTTGCGCCGAGTAATACCCCATGTGAAGAAGGACAACAGGAGCTTGTCAAAGATAGAAACGTTAACACTTGCCAAAAATTACGTGAAGGCCCTAACTAATGCCATTTGTACAATGAGAGGTGAAAGTCCGCGATACCAGTAAGTGAACAGCATAACAATACTACAGTTTTCTTTTAGAAATTATGTTACAGAAATATATATGAATGTCAACAAATTACATAGAAGCTTTTCTGCTGATTATGAAGTAATATCAGAGACAAAATATAAATTTCCTTTTAATTAGGTAATCGGATATTTTTATATTTATCTTTCTAAGTATTTTTTATTGGTAATAAAATTTAGTTTTGGCATGTTGAATTACTATTAAGTAAATATTGTATAGCATATTTCTATTCTGTTTTCTCAATCTTGAAAACACGCAACATCCTACTCGAATGTATAATTAATTTGAAAGACTATGAAAATAACAATGAAGTTAACTATTTAATTTACTGTGATAAATGCCATAAATATTGAAAAATCTAAACTTTGCTTATTACAGATTCACTGCTGAGGACGAGAACGTTGAACCATCTTTCGTGCTAAGCCGCGAACAGGAGCAGAACAACAACATGATGGTGGAGGACCGAGAGGCAGTGCCAGTGTCCATGTCTGACACATTCTGACAGAGGCGCAGCGCCCGCCTGGAGCACATTGTACTCCGTGGTTGCGCAGCTTGTCATAAGGATGATATGCAACGCCAACTCCGCTAAACCAAAAGTTGGTTTAAAACGTGACGCCAGCTCCATTACGTAACTAAACAGCTTTCGATTACAAACCCGATTTGTTATAACCTCACTTAGATGTTGCATTGCATCCGATCGATGCCATTATTTGTAATCATCTCTAAAAGCAGACACTATTTAAGAAATCTGTTAGTGGTAACTAATAGCGATAAAAAGTTGGTCGTTGTTATGATTTTCATTGTTTTTAGTCTGCCTTTTAAATCTAGAAATTGATAAAAATAATTGTATAGACATAGAATTTATTCAAGGGCTAAAGATTTGACTCTTGTTTTTTTTTATGTAATCGAGTTCATTTTTGTAATGAGAAGGCATACTTAATAATAAGATGCTGGCTTGGTGGATCTCATAATATTTTTTTAACTGGTAGGTTTTTTATTTTTCTTGCCGTTCTCATGACACCATATTATGACAAGTGTATACGAATATTGGATAATGATCTTTAAAACAATATAATCAGCAAGTAGAATGTTATAGAGTCTCTTGTTGAAGATGAATAATTTTTGTTAAACGTCTGTATTTAGGTTATATTAGGAAAGAATAAATTTTTTCAATGCCAATATTGTATTAAATAAAATCATACCTACATTATAAAGTACAAAACGCATTAAGTTATTTTCAATTCAAAAGATTTCAATGTTGGTAATATCTACGAATGGTGTCATAGGACCGGCATGATTTTATTGAATCGATTTTAAAATTTTGCCACCTTTTATTATGAGATAAAATTGAAGAAACATAAATTATAAATTATACTTATGTAAGTTTATTCTCTTGGCTATTCTTGTTATAAATAGGGAAAAATTTAAGTCTAATAAATTATTGCTCTTACAAAGAAACTGTCATAATATAATGGAAGTTTATTATAATGATAATGTATAGTAGATATCAATATAATTAATATTTGTAGATGTTGCTAGATTAAATTAATATTATTTTGAAGTTTACTATAATAAAACACCTGATGTTATCTGAACTGAATATAATTGACTTATTTGTTTTTTTTTTTATGAAGGTATATTTATTTTGCTCATGGTGCCAAAATAAGTTTCATAAATAAAATAATTTGGCAATATAATGTTAGGTAGATGCCTATATTATATTACCTGTTAAGTATGTGTTCCAATGTCAATTCCATATAAATCGAATTAATATCTATAAGTACCAAATTTTTTTATATTATATGATTGTCGTTTTTAATTTTGATTAAATTGCCATTTCTTTAAATATTTTAATTTAAAAAACACTATCTAGTTATACATAAAGTAGAGTATCCAAAAGATCTTCAATGTAGTACCTTTATTATCTACTATTAATAGGTAACTAATTTTATTCAGTCAATTCGAATTGTATACCTTCATAAAAATATTAGCCCACAAAAGCTATTATTAGATATTATATTTATAGCTATGATTATGAGTGTAAGATAGTTTTTCATTGGTTCCAATTCTGTTATACCACTCTCTAATTAAACATTACCAAAAAAAATCTAACTTTAATTTGGATTTATTTCAAAATTATCCCATATTCTTACGTAATAAGAGAAAGAATAATTCAACTCCTATATAATAAAATATAATAAGTTTACTTCTGTTAACTAGTTACTCAATTTAACAGGGCTAAACTAAGCCAACTAAATAAAATATGTGCAACAGAATTGCTACCTCTTTATCTTATATGTGCAACAAATAAATAGGTATGGTCATACTTAACAGGGTACGTAAATACATATTTCTAGCCCTTTTATTGGATCATTTACATAGGTCGATAGGGTCAGCTTTGCTATTCTGTTCCAAATATTACATCGAACATACTGTTGTTATAGCGTTAGGGTTCATTTAACGCACAGGAATCACCCTCTTTCCGCACGCGTTCCCTTTTGACCAATATAAATGAACCATAAGAGATAAGCAAATTTGGACTTTTATAAAAAAACTCATTAAAATTGATACTACTAATGCACCAAATGTCGATTGTACCTATATAATAACTTAAATATTATTTATCATACTTTATGTAATGCCAACTACTAAATTACATATGTGGCTTATCTATTTCTTTTGTCAATATAAGAAATTTGAAACTGCTTTTGAAAATAAGAAGGAACGTCTGAAAAGTATTATCTTATAGGTTACGGCAAGGTTGCGGTCGTATTGAAGCCTTGACATTTTAATTACAAGTAGGTAAAGAAAATACCTATCTATTATGAGGTCATTTATGGGTATGGTTGGATGGTTACAGCAAATTGAAATCAACTATTCACTCTTAACGTTAAACCGGGTTTCCGATGTTCGGGTGGTAGAGCTCTATTAAAGATGGCGAGATCTAGAACCAAGTACTCAGCGTACCTTGTTCCTAGGTTCTGCATTTTTAAATATAGAACGCGTCTAATGATGTGATATATCTCAAAATGTAGTTATTTTTTACTCATTTCATATCAGGAAATCAAATTTTATCTCAGGAAAAAAATTGCGAGGCTTATAATGATTTTTAAATAGGACTATCGTAATTACCCGAATACGATACGGACCCTAAAACGACGGTTTGCTATACACTATCTCGACGCAATTCGGACCCAATGCCGGTTTGCTACGTTTCAGTTCATATAATACGAAAAAATATTTTTTCCTCATATGCATTAATCTTTAAGCTGTTATAACCTCAAAACAGTATTTACAAATTACGAATCTCCCTGGCTTCCAGATGAAAATTTGCAAAGATATTATATTTTAAGCAAAAACGAATTTAAATTATCACTAATGGTGGGTAGACGTGATATTTATAAAACAATATATGACAGGTCAATCAACGTATCGAAATAAAACACGATTCTTTCTCAAATTGATTTTGAAATTTATTATTAATACGTTATGAGTAGAGTATAATTTTGCTCTATATCAAAATTACCCGCTCTGTTGATGTGCATATGCCGATATTTCTAACTTGCTTAAATTTTGTTGCAACTTTGTGTCCGTAAATTTCTTCTATATTAAGTATATATAGTTAGACGTGGCTGTATTAAATTATAACTGAATAAGTCTTAGTTTAGATAGGAAAATATCAAATTTTACTTATTATATAATACAACGTAGTGCAAAAAATGTACTTACTATCGTTTTAGTTACCTACTACAAAAAAAAGAAAGGATAAATTACTTTCTTTTAAGTAGGTGCTTAACCTTAATTTACTTTACAAGTCCACCTGATATAATTCATGCTTTATGCCAAATTTATTAGTAATAAGAAGCTAAAAACCCGAATACTGGATGGCATAACATTTATATCTTTTCATAATTAACAGAAAAGATCTACATTTGAAATCAAATAATTATGAATGTAATTAAATACTTATCTACCTATAGCATTTTATTTTTCTGACCGTGGTGATTTTCAGCAATATAAGTATATAATTTTAGTGCAAAGATATACAGATATTATCGTGTACGAAAGCAGCCGCTTTAGTTTAAAAACTGAGTTGCAGCCACAAACGCCCACCTTCATTGTATAAAGAACAACGTTCCACTCGACGTATTTATATAATTCAAGTTTAGAATTAAATTAAATAGCATGCATTCTTATCATTACTACTGTGTGTGTAGAATGTTAGTGTATATGAAAGTATGAGTATGTGTATATGAGTGTAAGTTTGTGTGTATTTGTATTATATGTTATGTTTTTGTGTATTTCTTTTATACAAACTGCGATGAATCACTATATGTCTGTTTACATACAACTCTTTAACAAGTCCTCAGTATCACTGTAGGATAATGTTTTTAGCCACTGTACCAATCGAGTTTTGCAGTCTCGCGAAGTGAGAGGATGTAATTTTATCAAGTTATTAATTTTGTTGTATAATTTTGGAGCCAAGAAGTTAAAATGTTTAGCAGATACAGATAACCTACACATCTCGATTTTACATGGCAAGACTGGTCTACGTTTGCTTTTACAGGGGTAAGGCTTATCACTTATAGTTGGAAATGGGAGTTGAGCGTGTTGCCGTAAAATAATTTGCAGGAGATAAATCTGACGCACTGTTAAAACGTCAGTAAGAGCATACAACTCAATAGTGGGGAAATAAGCTGGTTTGCCGATAATAACCTTAAGCACCGCTCTTTGAGCTCTTTCTAGTCGCAAAAGTTCTGTTTTTCCTGAGCTTCCCCAGACGGAGATACAATATGAAAGAACAGATTGTCCCAATGCATAGTAGACTGTTTTTAATGTATCATAATCAGCTACATGTCTGAGGTTTTTGAAGACGTAAATAAGTTTTCTGATACGACCAACCGTGTTTTTTATATGTACCTTCCATGTCAACAGACCATCCACGTGTACTCCCAAATATCTAATCTGGGTTACATGTGTAATTTGAGTACATTCACAATTTATACATGTTTGTGGAGGAGACTTATGAGCAAAGATATGGAACGGGAAGGATGGTAAAGACACTCTAGCAGGGGAAAAAGTTATGAAGTTAGTTTTCGTTAGATTTAATGTTAATAAATTTAGGGATAGCCATTTCATAACAATATGCAGAGCGAATTCCGCATTAGCATGAACATTTAACCAATCTGTACCATGCACTAGTAAAGCAGTATCATCTGCATATATTAAAATTCTACAGTTTGGCAGAGTGAGTTTGCAAAGTTCATTTATATATATATTGAAAAGGGTAGGTCCTAAGACGCTTCCCTGAGGGACACCGAAATGGAGATTCTCATCATGGCTAACGATGTCATCTATTTTAACACATTGACGGCGGTTACTAAGGTAGCTCTCGAAAATTTTGTGAACCACACCCCTGATCCCAATCTCCGACAGCTTGTTCAATAGGAGCGGGACGGAAACTGTGTCAAAGGCCTTAGAAAGATCTAGAAAAAGCCCAATAGTTTGAAGTTTTGAGTTAAAGTTTTTTATTACTGCTCCTGTCAGATCAAGCAAGGCATCTTCAGTGGACTTTCCTCGACGGAAGCCATATTGGTTATCCGCAATTATATTATTGGTATCGAGATAACCGAGGAGCCTACAATTTAAGATCTTTTCAAGGATTTTGGATAGCGTAGTTAAAACGGATATAGGTCTATAATTGTTGACACTGCTCTCGTCACCATTTTTATATGTAGGATGCACCTGAGCCTTCTTAAATGATCTAGGAAAAACACCCGTAGATAAACATAAGTTAAAAAGATATACAAGTATTGGAGTCAATGTCCTTTTAGCCGACTTAATCACTACAGTGGGTATGCCATCCCAACCAGTAGCTGACGTATTTTTTAGGTTATCAATGATGCAACTAATTTCTTTATTGTCGGTGGCAAGTAGACACATGGAACTGATGGGAGAATTTTTTTTTATAAAATCATTTGGATTAGTTGTCGACGGATTGGGACTCGATGCGCTAACTATCTTACAGGCCAGTTCACGTCCAATATTTGCAAAAAAATGGTTGACTCTGTCAATAGCAGATGATGACTCGATAGAATCAGGAATAAGTTTACTTGCCGAATTTAGTGTGTCAGATAGATTACCAAATTTTTTTATAAGTTTCCATGTGCTTTTCGAGTCTTTATTTGCTTTAGCAAGTTCAGCTCTTTCATATTCTCGCTTAACTTTTTTAATTAAGTTATTTATAAAATTTCTATACCTTTTATAGGTTAAAATCAAAATGTCGTTATTGGGTTCTTTTTTTGATTTACGAAATAATCTGTCACGATTACGTAAACATTTTAATAAACCTGGTGTGACCCATGGTTTAATTATTCTTTTTCTGCTTGGAACATATATTCTATGTGAATGGGTTTTCACAACATTAGAAATTGTGTCAACCAGTAAATCAGTCGCGTTGTCGGCATCATTGCATAAAAGAATATTAGAATAATCAGTCGTTTCTAGCTCTTGGGTACATGCTTCTACATCCAGTTTCACATACGAATGTTTTACATTTTTATTTTTTTATTTAAAATTACAACATAATAGTACTGGTGCATGATCTGTGATGTACGAATCAAATACTAAAGTAGTAGCTCTAGATGTTGTCTTGAGGATCACGTGATCCAGGCAACTGAGGTTTCTGGTGGGAAGAACATGAGCCGGCAGCATAGCATGGGAGGCAACTACATTTAAGTAGTGGTCACTGTTTGGATCTTGACTATCTGGTACAATATTTATATTAATATCCCCAATGACGGCTACATTACGGAATGATTTTAACGATTGTAATACAATCTCAAGAGAATTTATAAAGTTATCTATTTTTTTGTAAGATGGTGAACGATAGAGAGCAATTATTGCAAGTGTACTTGAAAATTTTAGTAAGAGACAGCTTGCCTCATTAAATTCAGGGACTTCAAATGAAAAAGATACGTCATTTCGTATATAAGCTACGACACCGTCATTTTGATTTTTGTAGTTGGATTTACATGAGCTGTACCCTGGTAGGGTAGGAAGAAAAGAGCATTGACTGAGCCAGCACTCAGATAAAATAATAACATCACAAGAAATACTCATGCTGTTTAGTAAAGGGAGAAGTAAAGGGAAGTTACAATTTATACTTCTAATGTTAACATGTAGTACTTTAAAAGTATTACTTGCATCCGATATAAGCTTTCCACAGTAATTAGGTGAGCAATATTGGGACTCGGACACTTGGATTTGTTCGATTTCAGAAATGATATTCA